TGCCAAAAAGTACTCACCCAGTGTAATGTAGGTTAGTCACTCAAGTAAACAGAAGTGTTGCTGAAACTTGTGCAAAAGGAACTGTGTTTCACTGTGATATGTGGCTTTCTCAGAATCCTGTAAGAGGCTGAGGCAGCTTTGTTATTTTCTCAACCCGTTTTCTACAAAATCTGGTCATTTGAGAGACTGGCAATACAGTTTGGCGTAAAACAGTTCATGGTGTCCTTGAAGAACTTTCCAGAATACAGCACTTTCAGTGGGAAAAAGTGTTACTATTTTTTTTGTTGTTGTTCAGTTGGTTGGGTTGGTTTGTTTGTTTTATTATAAAGGATAATGGAGCTTATGCAACATACTGTATATTGGTTTTGGAACATAAGCTAGAGAACTCTTATGGCCTTTTTCACTGTGATAGTAACTAATCATGCCATGTCATAAGGCTATCACAAATAGAGTTGCAGGATCCTTGCAGATAAAAGCGTGTGAAAGACTATTTTATGGCTGTAATTTAGTTGCAGGAGTTGGGTCACAGCCACTTCCTACAGACTCATTTGGATGCTTCAGTGTAAAATCCACTCAGGTGGAAAGCTCTTATACCTACAGATCTTTGAGAGATTTGGTGAATTAGTGGAAGAGTTAGTGGCAAGAGAACAGGATATCAGAGCTGCCCTCACATATGCTGTTACTTGCATATTTCTGTGTCCATCATCTGCCTTCCTGCTAATTCTAGCAGAGTCCTGCTGAGCCTGAGGCAGTGTGCTAGAAGGCTATCTAGTTACTAGTGCCTGGCAACACCTTTCTGCTCACCTTCAGAGATAAAAGACAACTTTAAATGAATGGACTGGGAACATATTGACAGATTTCTGTAAAAATAAATACTGTCTGAATTGTGGATGTTTCTGAATAAAACACAGGTGTAGAAACTGCATGTATTAACATGTATAGGTAGGGACATATATGTGTTACAGTAAAGATGTTTGGCAGGGGGATTTGTTTTCTTGCTTTGTTTTTTTTTTTTTCCCTGCCTCCTGTCCATGGTCATGCATTTCCCTTTCTGATTCTAAAAATTGAGTTCTGTCAGCAGGTGTGTTGTTCAACTCAATGCTTCTGGCTGTAACTCCTTGCAGAAAGGAAACAGGAATTAGTTCCATTATAATCTGTAGCAGCAAACTAAATGAATGTGGTTTTATTTTGTGTCATTTGGCAATGTTTTTAGGTAAAACCTAATCCCTTCTAAAGGATGTATTGAATATTTTCTTAGAGATGCTTTCTGAAATTAGTGTATTTACATGGTATGGACGTGTAAATGTGCTATGGTAGTATCATTTTTCTTGAAGGAATTGCAAAAACTATGTCTGAAGTAGTAGGAAAAGCACAATAAGAGAGAATGCCACGGTGCCATCAGGTGGACACATCGTAGGTGCCTCGTCCACAGTAAAATAGGAGTGCTTTTGTTGGCCTTATACTAGAAGACATAAATTAGTTGATATCTATGGGACAAGAAAGGCAGTTCTAAGATCTAATACAAAACCTAACTGCTCTGTTGAGTGCCTTGCAATTAACACCACAATACCTTCCAGTTGAAAAATGAGATCCTTCTTTCAGTTACTAGAGAGTTTGGATTAACTTCAGTATAAATAGGTTCTTTTAATTTCTGTGGACAAGACGGTGAATTCTTTTGGCAAGAAATGATGGGTTTGCTTTGCACTGATACTGCATATTATAAAGAGACTAAGCCTTTGTCCTGAGAAAAGGAACGTCAATAAACAGCTGGTTAGAGCTGTGGCTGTGTCCTCTCTTTGATCTCTCTCCCTCTAAGCCTCCATCATTGAAATAAGACTGTTGCTTCACAGCAAATGGCATTTGGGACACAGCACTGCAACCTGTCGTGTGCCTTACAAGGGTATTTCTTGTGTTAGAATAATATTGCTTGCTCTGTAGATACTGTTTGAAAATTTCTTATTTAATTTGGTGAGCATCATAAGAAGCTTTAGTATTTTTATAAAAATAGTACTGAGTACCACATCACTGAGAGTCACAGTGGTGACAATGAAGTGCTTCTGTATGTACCTGTAATGAGTACTTTTTATTTGTCATCTTAGTATTCAGTCTCTATTGTAGCACTGTGTTATTCCCAGTACTATAGTAACTTCAAATTCACGCTGTTGTGGCTGTTTCTTTTGTTACTATTAACAAGTGATATTCTTGTGATACGCTTGTATTTCAGTAACAGATACTTTCCCACATTTTTAGACTTGTCACATGTTTGTTCCCAGTAGAAATTGACCCAGCTTTTTTTTTTTTTTTACAAACAAGAGGTTTGTTAAGAGTTCTTTATTGAAAACTAAGAGAAATTCCATACCTTGCATTTTAGATTATTATAACAAGTGTAGTGAACTATGAAACACATATCACTTTATTCCAATCCCTTCTGTGTCTTCTGAAAGACATTATGGAGAACTCCTTTAGGATGCCCAACTCGGTGTCTGTATTCGTAATCATGTTGGAGGAGACAGAGCAAAGACAGAAAAGTCTAATACTAGAGAAAGTAGAGAAGAAAATCTTGGCAGTTAAAATAGGTAGGCATTGCCAGCTAGTGTGGTTTGAGATGTTGCCCACGATGGTCAAGCCGTTCTAATGATGAATGCTTTGTTTTCACGAAGACTAGAACACTATTTCAGTATTCTAGCTTAAAAAAAAAAAATCCTTAGATGGATATTTGATTTGAAAGGTTTGCTTTCCTTTAAGTGCTTTTAAGCTGGTTTTTTTCTGTTGTATTTAGGGGCATCTTTGCAGCTGATGTTTACAACAGAGAAATAGCTGCTGGAGTGGGAAATGGCTATTGCATCTTGAATTACACAGTATTTATGAAATGTCAGGGTGAGCTGTGGTAAGCAGCTGAAATATGCTTAGGTCAGTGGATATTTAATTTCCTGTATGGCACAATATATCACTGGACAGTGTAAAGAAGTTAGTTTCCTAAGGTCCAGACAAAACATGTTTCTATGTTCCATTTCATATGTTCTTTTTGACATATCATAATCATGACCAAAGACATGCTGAGAAAAGAGATGCAGGTAGATTATTTTCTCATAGTTTTTGAAATTAATTACCCACATTAATCTGAAATATCTCCATTGCTTGTGGGGCTGACTGAGGGGCTGCTGAAGCTAAAGCTGGAAAGATAAAGGGGCTGGTGAGGCATTACTTCCTGTATTACTGGTTTGTTTATGTTCTGCTGTTTAAAACAAGTTAATCTCTATTTGTAATTGTTAGTATAATCTGGTAAACAGGCAGTATTTTTTTTGTTAAAATGAAAATAAGCCACAAAATAATAAGTATAGCTTTTAAATATATATATATAAGTAGTACATGTAACCTAATGAGAGACCAGAATACTTTGTGTTAGTACATAAGACATGGCAAAACGACCACTTTGTGCCCTAAGCAGTTCATGTATTAGGTGTAAGACAAAATTTTCACATATGATAAAAATTACATTTTATCGTATGTGACATTTTCTAAATTTTCTGTGAAGAGCAACTACCTAATCTTCCTTCTGCTTCTATTTACATATATGGTATTTCATAGAGAACTGACAGGTCATACATTCATGCTAAGTATTTTGAACTCTGACTAATCTTTGAGCACTGGGATACAGGTGTTCCCTCTCCAACCTTTTTGTGCTGTTATTTGACAGAGTCTCGGATTCTAGATACTTGTCCTCTAGAATGAGATATCACTAGAATCAGAATTAATCCCTCCAATATATTAATTGCTTCTAGACAGGTAATGTTTTACTTACCAGGCAATTTCTGTCTGTAGTTTGTTTGAGAGCTCAAAATTTGAGATCCACTGGTGAGTTTGAATTGGGTACCCATTTTACTTGAAATGTTCCTATTCCTAGTTTGAGTGAGCATCCCAGTGAGAATAAATGTGCTAAGATAGTTTTAAAATTTAAATCCTGCTTAATTCAATGTTTTCTTTACAGATAGCTGTTTTCTCTTGGCTTTTGGGCTATGCTTTTGCGCACATTTGCTAGAATATTTGGAGACAGCAAATAAAGGGTGGGATTAACACTTGTTAAATTAATTCAAGTAACAGTTGGAAGTAACACTGTAGAAACATTTGTGCAGTCTTTGCCCAGGTTGTGTGTGAGACTGAGGTAGTTTTTATAATTTACTGGTATTTAGCTTCTAAACCTTTAGAAACATCAATGTGTTTCATGGCCTTTGACTCTTCCTTTCCCAGCTCCCTTACAAAACTATAACATAATACTGTTAGCATGATAAGCAAGCCTTAGAGAGTGAAACTAGTTTAATGAATGTTTGACTTGCATCTCTCAGGAAAAACACTTGTTTATTGCCTTTAAAAATATACTAGTTTGATGAATAAGCTGTGCCAAGAATGAAACAAAAGTATGTGAAATGGAATGAAGTGGAAATGGTCTGTGTGTTGGTGTCAGCCAGTGCTAGAATTGTAAGGCTAAATGTGCTATGTTAGTGAGGCACAGATAGGAAAAGGGCTTTTTTTAATTCAGAAGTAAGGTCTCCCAAGGATACTGTTGTCTGTAGCATCATAGTTGCATATTGTTTGGCTTTTCAATTCTTTGAGCTGTTAAACAACTTTTTCTTGTCTAGTGCGGATCAACCAATAATCTGCACTGAGATGTGATCCCTGGATTATATTTACAGTGTTAGTACATTGGTCCAGCCCTACTTCTTCTGTGCATGTACCTATACAATACTTAAATGTTATATACAGGTAGTGTGAAACACTACTTAGTTATGCATCTCAAGTTACGTGGGGGTGTTAGTAACAGTTATGCTGGATACTGCGTCAAAGCCCTCTTTTTTTCAAAAAGATGGGAATTTGGTGGGCTCAGACTTGTGCACTGAAAAAAAATAATTAGAGCTGCAAGACAAATTTGTGTCTGATTACTATATGAATGGAATTGGTTATTTAAAATTGGTTATTGGCTGTTTTTTTCTGCTTGTTTACAGGTTGCATGGCCGATACCATGAAATGGCACCAAACGTTGTGCCCATGGACTATACAAAGGACCCAGATGTTAAACTACCTATGCAGCTTATAATAAACATGCCTGAACTAAAGGTATCACTTCTGACTGCTTACAAACTGTATCTTCTTAAGTTATGTTGCTCATCTGCCAGAGGTTTTGCCAAGTGAGTTTGATATCCTGAAGCAACGTGGCATGCTGAGGTCTTCCCCTTCCTGTTACTGTTCAAGGGCAAAACCAGCCCCGGAAACTGGAAAATATTTAGGTGGATGTCTTTCTTGCAGAGATAGTTAGGATAGATGTTAAAGGACGAGTAGGAAATAAAATTAAATTTAGCAATCTTTCCAGTTTGTATATATCGATCCCTTAGAAGCCAGTGGGATCATTGTGTGAAGAGCTGGAACAGCTGGTTAGAAATTAGAAGTTCTTATCTCAGTGTGTTGATCGGAAATTTGTCAGAGGTGTGCAGAACATTGCTGATCAAAAGTAAAGATTTTCCCTTTTTTTTTTTTCTCAGCTGCAAAAGCACAATAAATACTGTTTTTCTTAATTATCAAGAGTTTTCATTTTTCGTGGAGTCATTACATGATAGGAAGTGGAGAGACAGTCCATGTAACTACACATGGGAGAAGCAGTAGGCATAAAGCAATCACTGTAAAAAAATGAGATAGTATTTGTCTTTATTATTTTATCAGTTCAACAATTGAATATGGTTTTAACAGGACAAATACAGATTTTTAGCATTTATTTTTTAAACAGGTTATTGAATTATGTTGTCTTTGGTCTCATGGTCTATTTTCTTTTTCATGCATGCAAATTAGTTGACATCTTTACATTACTATCATGTAGAGACAGCTATTTGTTCACTGTGATAGTTGCATGAAGTGTTGTTAAGATTTTTAAGAGTAATGCCATAAAAAACTTGTAATTGATGGCCTTCCACTTCATTTTAATGATTTAGAAATTATTCCTTAATGTTGTAAGATATCGAATATTTGGGAAAAAAAGTACAAGCATAAGCACTGCTTTAGAAATTCAGTCTGGGAGGAGGTTAAGTCAACATAAAGACATTTGAATTGGATTTCAAGTTGAAGTTCACAGAACTCCTTGTTCCTTTAGTACGACACTTACTGCATGTTTGATTCTGAGACAATACAGTTTATTGAGCAAGAAGCACATTTCACTCTAAAGAATGTTTGTTAAAGTGTTTGACCAGCATTTCATATAAATGGAAACATTAGAGATTAAACACATATGACCATTTAATTCAATAGAAGGCCTTTTAAAAATTTTCATCCTTCAGTTATGACTCTGGTTTACCAGATACCTATGTACAGCTTAGAAATTTTGGGTTTTGAAGAAACTGAGAAATAATTTAGGATTCTTTTTCACAGTAAGCATGGGATTCTTCAGCAAAATCCTAGTAGCTGTTTATACTCTTTCTAATGGTGAGTTGCCTGTAATAAAGTAGATGAAGATGATGTAGCTAGCTTTAATTCCAAAATTGCACATAAAAAATAATGACATTATAAATTTAAAATTTTGTAAGTAAAAAAAATGCAAGGAAAACTTTAGACATCTTTAATTCTATCATAAAAGCCATAAATGCCACTGTCATCAACGTAACACATCTACATTCAGCTATTAAATATATTAATAGTTAAGGATTTTGGTAGGGCTCTTTTGCTAATGACCTTCCTTAACAATATTACATAGTATAGGAATAAAATTAGTACATACCTCGCTATTGTTTAAATAGTTACAAAATTGCAATGTGTGATGTGCTATGAGTTGTTCCTAGAACTTAACAAAATGGTTCTTTTGTCATCTGATTGAAAGCTATTAAGCCTTTTAACTCCTAAAGCAGCATAACCCAACCCTAATTAGAATGCAGCTCCAGGTCAGTTTCATATCAGCTGTGTGCAGATTACAAGTATGTGTCCTTGGCTGCCACGGGTATAACTGTAATTCCCTCCTCTGTAGCTTGCAAAGTTGACCTTCCTAGCTCACCTCAAATAAAATGAATGACATTTAATAAATCATGCAGGTACTGTAGTTTAAAAAAAAATTCTTCTCATCTTTGCCCATTATATTACAGTGTGAAGTAGGAACAGGATATAAAAGTAGTGTAGTTCAAGGTTTGTTTATATATGAACTTTTAGTATCAGCAGCATTCAAGAAAACATTGTTTTTCAACAATATTATGTGTTTAAATGTATTGAAATGTCTATGAAAGAGCTTAAATTATGTGTCTGTATACTTCATGAAACAAGTGCATTTAGAGAGGTATTTGTGGAACTTTAAAATAGGGGGTATAAAGATCTTGCTGAAAAGTTCTTTTCAGTTCATTCAATTGCATAAAATACCTTATTATATGTTAACCATTCAGATACCTTATAAATATTTCACATAAGTTTTGTATAGCACAAATTAGGCAACAGGCAAAATTAATAATACTTTGCAAAAATGCCCTGTATTGGGTCCAATTTGGAAATAGCAACAAAGATTTCAAACTTGATTATCCAAAATTAGATTTAAGACATAACTACAAGCCTGTCAGCCTGACCTTGGTACCAGGGAAGATTATGGAATGGTTTGTCTTGAGAGCACTCACATGGCAAGTCCAGGACAAGCAGGGGACCTGGCCCAGCCAGCATGGGTTTACGAAAGGCAGGTCCTGCTTGACCAACCTGATCTCCTTCTATGACCAGGTGACCCGCCTAGTGGATGCGGTAAAGGCTGTGGATATTGTCTGCCTTGACTTCAGCGAGGCCTTTGACACTTGTCTCTCATGGCATGCTTCTTGAGAAGCTGGCAGCTCATGGCTTGGACAAGTGTACTCTTCACTGGGTGAAAAACTGGCTGGATGGATGAGCCCAGAGGGTTGTGGTGAATGGGGTGAAATCCAGTTGGCGGCTGGTCACAAGTGGTGTTCCTCAGGGCTCGGTGTTGGGCCCTGTTCTGTTTAATATCTTTATCAATGATTTGGACGAGGGGATCGAGTGCACCCTCAGCAAGTTTGCAGATGACACCAAGCTGGGAGGCAGGGTCGATCTGCTTTGAAGGTAGGGAGGCTCTACAGAGAGATCTGGACAGGCTTGATCGATGGGCCGAGGCCAACTGTATGAGGTTCAACAGGGCCAAGTGCCGGGTCCTGCACTTGGGTCACAACAACCCCATGCAGCGCTACAGGCTTGGGGAAAGGTGGCTGGAAAGCTGCCTGGCAGAAAAAGACCTGGGGGTGCTGGTTGACAGCCAGCTGAATATGAGCCAGCAGTGTGCCCAGGTGGCCAAGAAGGCCAATGGCATCCTGGCCTGCATCAGAAATAGTGTGGCCAGCAGGAGCAGGGATGTGATTGTTCCGCTGTACTCGGCACTGGTGAGGCTGCAGCTTGAGTACTGTGTTCAGTTTTGGGCCCCTCACTGCAGGAAAGACATGGAGGTGCTGGAGTGTGTCCAGAGAAGGGCAACCAAGTTGGTGAGGGGCCTGGAGCACAAGTCCTGTGAGGAGCGGCTGAGGGAACTGGGGTTGTTTAGTCTGGAGAAGAGGAGGCTGAGGGGAGACCTTATGGTTCTCTGCAGCTACCTGAAGGGGGGTTGTAGTGAGGTGGGTGCTGGTCTCTTCTGTCAGGCGGCTGGAGATAGGACGAGAGGAAATGGCCTCAAGTTGCAGCAAGGGAGATTTAGGTTAGATATTAGGAAAAAATTTTTTACTGAGAGGGTTGTCAGACATTGGAATAGGCTGCCCAGGGAAGGGGTTGACTCACCATCCCTGGAGGTATTCAAAAAGCGCGTAGATGTGGTACTTCAGGACATGGTTTAGTGGGCATGGATGATGGTTGGACTCGATGGTCTTGAAGGTCTTTTCCAACCTAAATGATTCTATGATTCTATGATCAAAATCAGTAGCCTGTGAGAAGCTGCTAGCACAAGCAGGTCTAATTAGGCCCTAAGGCTGTATTCTGAAGTATAGTGTTAAATTACTCAGTGGAGCTAAAAGTTGGGAATTGGGATGGTTGCTCTAAGTCGTCTTTGTCCTACCTACGAGATCATGATACCAACAGGTGAATACAGAACAACTTTGCACTACTTTTCACAAGGACAAGGAAGTATTGCGTGAAATTACAGACAGACAGCTGACATAACGTGTAAATATATTGAGGAACTCATTGCCACAAGACATCTTGGCAAAGACAGCATTAGTCTTCAAAAATTATTTAAGAGCTTTTATAGAGCAGAATTCCACAGATTGCTCTTAAGTTTTATGATCTGGATGTAATATCTAACTCCAGAAGTCCCTGAAATGCTCATTGTGTTAATCTCAGAATATACTATAGTAAGGATCACTATGTGTATCTCCCTCTTTTTTTTTTAATTCTTGCCTTATCTGCAACTGGTTCCACTTAGAGTTAGGCTGGTGGGCTGGATGGACTGGTAATTATGACAGTTCCCATATTATAGTGGTTTTTTTTTTCCCCTTAGAAGCAATCCCTAGATCTGTTGGATTTATTCTTAATGCCCCAGTGAGATTTGTCTGAGATGATTTAATCAAAGGACCTGCTTCTAGCAGTTACATGGAACCAGTCATTTGAAGCTTAGCAGCTAGTACATAAGGAAGAAGATTCTTCACCTTGAAATAGGAATATTTCCTGAAGTGCTGTCATGTTGGATAGACATCTGTATATAAGAATGCAAATTAGTGTTGTATGGAATACAATACAACAAAAATTGTTTTATATTTACATAGGTAAGACCATTAGTAAACTAATCAGTTTTTTTAGTAGCTGGCAGGATGAAATAGCATGGGCTTCACAAAGTCTGAATGCATGGGAGTATCTTGAAGTATTCTGATTGTTTTCAGCCATCTGTTATTTTTGCTTATGCATAAATATTGAATTCTTATCTCTGTGATAAAACGTATCATCCTCAAGGGTTTTTGATTCATTCGTCCATTACTGCAAGTAGTTTTATATCTCTCTAACAAGTCTGCAACTCATTCATCACTGTAGCATCTTAGGTGCTTGTACTAGCACTTCTGGTATGGACAATCAGTATTCCTTAAGTTTTACGTTATTATCTTTAGGATCTTGATAGG